AGGTCTTGGCCAAAATTGTGGAATTGGAGCTCAGAGATTGAGGTCTTGGCTGAAATTGTGGAATTGGAGCTCAGAGACTCAGGTCTTGACCGAAATTGTGGAATTGGAGCTCAAAGACTTAGGTCTTGGCCGAAATTGTGGAATTGGAGCTCAGAGATTGAGGTCTTGGCTGAAATTGTGGAATTGGAGCTCAGAGACTCAGGTCTTGGCTGAAATTGTGGAATTGGAGCTCAAAGACTCACAACTTGATCGAAATCGTGGAATTGGAGCTCAGAGATTGAGGTCTTGGCTGAAATTGTGGAATTGGAGCTCAGAGACTCAGGTCTTGGCTGAACTTATGGAATTTATGACTTGACCAAAATTGTGGAATTGGAGCTCAGAGATTGAGGTCTTGGCTGAAATTGTGGAATTGGAGCTCAGAGACTCAGGTCTTGGCTGAAATTATGGAATTTCCTTCAATTCTCCATTCTGGTGAAATTTAATTCTCCGGACAACGACGTACTTCTAGGGCGCCGTGCGGGATGTTTCATTTTTCCAGCGCGGCTGCTCGGCCGTCAGGTCGGATGAGGCTTGGAGCGACGTGGTGTGGTGGAGGGTGTCCCTGCCCATGGCAGGGGGGTGGAACTGGGTGGTCTTTGAGGCCCCTCCCAACCCAAACCATTCCACGATTCCATGTGTTTTAGGCCCTTTATTCTTGGCTGGAGAAAGTCCATTCCCACCCCTTTCCGCGCGTTTTCAGCCGCCACCAACGCGCCGCCCTAATTCCTGGATATTTATTGGATCAGCACCGGCCGCGCGGTTACACCACCTTTGGAACGACACCAACCACACACAAAAAAAATAAAATACAAGGAAAAAAAAGTCACGTCCCTCCGCGTCAAACCCGCTCCGCGCGTTACAAAGGAACGTGGGATTAAAATTTCCGCGGACACGGCAACGTTTCGCACGCGTCCGGCGTCGGGCTGTGCCAGGAGGGCGGAAAGTTTTCCGGACCCGGTGCCGGACCGCCGGGGTTTCATTAAAAGGCTCGACCCGCGCGCGAAACCGGCTGTAAATTAAGACAAAAGTGGGTTAAAAACGCTTCGGCTCCTTAAAAACAAAGCAATGCTTTCCATAAAAAAAAAAAAAAAAAGCAAAAATCGGGTTCTTTTTGCCTTCGCGCCGAGCGCACCGGAAAAAAAAAACCAAAAACACCAAAAAAACGTCTCGGATTAATCGTTTCCCCCCCCGTCGTGGACATCGATACGACCAAGTTCAACGGCAAAGGACAATAAAAAGTGCCAAGTCCTGCAGGATAAGAGAGTTTCGGCCAAGCCGCGGTGAAAAGCCACTGTTGAGAACCCCAGTGAAGCACAGGGACACAGCACGGACACTTTGGATTTTTGGAGTTGGAGGAAATTGGAGTGAAAAGCCGTATTTTTTGGGTGTGGGCAAGAGTTTGAGACGATCTAGGAAGCCCCAAAATCATGATAGCCGTAGGAGTCTGTGAAAAAGTCACCTACAGAAGGGGGAGACAGAGCAGAGAAGAAAAAAATTAGAATTCCTTGGAAGAGGGCAGAAGGCGCCGCATGTGAGAGTCACGTTTTAGATTTCTCTGCTCCTGTCGCCCCCCAAAGAAGGCTCCTTCTCCAGACCAACCGCCGGGTGTTTTCGGGGAAAAAAATCACATTCCAAAGTGTGGCCGAGAGCTTCACGTGGCTTAAAGCAGAGAAATTTAAAATATTTTAGAGGAGACGTGAAGTCACCTGGATGCGCGTTTTAACTTTCTAAACGAGGACATGAGCCGTTTTGCCATTAATTCTCATTAAAAAAATTAAAAAGGAGAAGCCCCTAAGAACGTTGGGAGCTCTAGAACGTGCCAGGTACCCATGGAGGAATGTTGGGAGCTCTAGAACGTGCCAGGTACCCATGGAGGAACTGGGAGCTCTAGAACGTGCCAGGTACCAACAGAGGGATGTTGGGAGCTCTAGAACGTGCCAGGTACCAATGGAGGAATGTTGGGAGCTCTAGAACATGCCAGGTACCAATGGAGGAACTGGGAGCTCTAGAAAACACAACAGGGACCAACAGAGGAATGTTGGGAGGTCTAGAACGTGCCAGGTACCAATGGAGGAACTGGGAGCTCTAGAACGTGCCAGGTACCAACGGAGGAATGTTGGGAGCTCTAGAACGTGCCAGGTACCAATGGAGGAACTGGGAGCTCTAGAAAACACAACAGGGACCAACAGAGGAATGTTGGGAGCTCTAGAACGTGCCAGGTACCAACGGAGGAATGTTGGGAGCTCTAGAACGTGCCAGGTACCAACGGAGGAATGTTGGGAGCTCTAGAACGTGCCAGGTACCAACGGAGGAATGTTGGGAGCTCTAGAACGTGCCAGGTACCAACGGAGGAATGTTGGGAGCTCTAGAACGTGCCAGGTACCAACGGAGGAATGTTGGGAGCTCTAGAACGTGCCAGGTACCAACGGAGGAATGTTGGGAGCTCTAGAACGTGCCAGGTACCAACAGAGGGATGTTGGGAGCTCTAGAACACTCCAGGTACCAAAGGAGGAACATTGGGAGCTCTAGAACCCTTCAGAGTGGCTTCTGCAGGAGTGTGTGACCCGGTCCGAGTTCCACACCCTCAACGGATCCACGTGTTTGGAAATTTAAGATGAAAAACACTTACTGTAGCCGGCTGTGGCGGAATTTCCTCCGTAGCCGTAGCTTCCGTACCCAGCGCCTGGATGAGAAGGAAAACGGTTCAATAAAAAAAAAAAGAAA